ACGTTCTACCACGCGGCTTTTACCTCTATCCCATTCTGTGTCTGACTTGTTCCACCGTCTCCGTCTTTCTTCTTCTTCCCAGAGTTCTCTCTGTCCCTGGAAGTTCTGCATCACTTCTTCCTGCCTAGCTACTGGCCACTCAGCTCTTTATTAAGCCGATGAGAAGGAGCCTTGGCAAAGACACATCTTCTCAGTGTACACAAATATCCCTCAAGGGCCCACAGCACCATCCATGACCGTTGCTATTCCTTCTCCCTTTCCTAGTGTGGTCCAGGTGCCTGCCTGTGTGTGTGTTCTCAAGAAGAGCCCGGAAACAGGCAGACTGGCAGATGCTCTAGCACAGCCACTAGGCTTGGAGGAAAGCAAGCCCTGAAGACAGTTGTTGAAAGAATGGCTGCCAAGGACTTGAGTGTCAACGTGTCAATGGCCAACTGCCAGGGGGGGATCATTTGATTTGTTAAAAGTGAAGATTTCTGATCTACCTTGCATCAATTGCATGTCACACCTGGTGTGTGTGTGTGTGTGTGTGTGTGTGTGTGTGTGTGTGTGTCAGGGGGAGGCTAGAAATTTGAATTTCTGTAAGCATAGCAGATGATTTTGGAAGCACCACAAACCGCAAACCCCACCTCCACCCCTCCCTGTCACGGGCCCTGCTACTGTTAACTCTGTGGTACTGGGAAAATCACAGGGCGGTGGGATGGGGTAGCTGCTGAGAAAGCCCAGAGCGTGGATGGTGGAGAGGCCTGGTGTGGATTCTGTAAGAATGGCTGAGGGAATGAAAGCAGAAATCCTCTGTGAGGTGAAGCTGGAGAGCCAGGCGCACAGGACCAAGAGTGGGGACTGTCCTGCTTAGCTTTAGTTGTCAACTTGGAACAGCCTAGAGTGATCTGAGGAGTCTACACTGAGGGATGGCCCAGATCAGACCGGAAGAGGACTTGTCTGAAGTGAGAGAGATAGGGATTCCCCTGACTGTTAATTGATGAAGGAGGGTCCAGCCCACTGTGGGCAACACCATTCCTAGGCAGGCGGTCCTTGGCTGTAGAAGGGAGCTAGCTAAGTATGAGCCCAGGAAAGGGCCAGCAGGCAGGGTTCGTCCATGGCTTCAAGCTCCTGCTTGAGTTCCAGCTCTGACGCCTCTCAGTGATGAGACTGTGAGCTGGACTCATGAGCCAAATATATCTTTTCCCTCCTGGGTTGCTTTTGGTCAGACTGTTTTTTATCACAGTAACCGAAAAGAAAGCCAGAACAGGAATGAGGACTCATTTTTGGGAACCTTGAGCCAAGATGGTCACTGAGACCCTGTGGATGGATTCGATTTCTGCTGCTGCCAGAATTTTTATAACCACCATCAAAATGCTACACGGAGCACTGCAGTCGTTTTATGACTAACAGAGTACCAGTGGCAGAGGAGGACACTGCCTCAGCAGCTGTGAGAGAACAGCGCTCACCACAGACTTGAGCAGCACGGAATACAGCTGTGATTTGACACAAAACAATGTTCAAATAAGCACAAGTTAATTTAACACATTCACAGTGCTTCCTTGGGCAGCATCTGGTTTTCCAGCCAGCCTAGGATGTGGTTCATCAGAAGGTGACCTCGGTGTGTGTAAAAGCCGATTTCACAAGGTGACAAAGGCAGACGGGCTGGGCTTAAAGAGGGCTAAGCAAGGATTTAGTCTCCGGGTTCAGAAAGAGGTGCCTGGAGTGTTCATTCAGCATTTCGCATCTTTGCTGAATGTCTTATCTGTGTCAGCACGGTGACAGGGACTAGAGCTTCAGCGGTCAACGCAACAACAGAATCCTTGCTCTCGTAGTAGTTTACACTTAGATGGGGAAAGGGCGAGAGTTAAGAAAGTCAAAGAAGAGCTGGGCATAGTGCCACAAGCCTTTAACCCCAGCACTCGGGAGGCAGAGGCAGAGGCAGGAGTAGCTCTAAGAGTTGGAGGCCAGCCTGGTCTACACAGAGACCCTGGCTCAAAACAAGCAAAGAACGAGTATGAAATAGTAAGATCGAATGGTGCTGAGTTTTCTGGAGAAGAATAAACAGTAGAATCTGGGGATTGAGGGGATCAGAGATGTCCTTTAAGGAAGATCTCATTTAAGGACAAAGAGACACTTAAACAAGACATACAGGTGATGACAGGAGGGGAGGCAACAGCAGCCTCCCCTCTTCCAAGCGCAGCCAGGAGACAACGCGAACACTTGACCCTCGAGAAAGGGCCCAAGACAGGGGTAGCCAGCAATCCAGGGCAGGGCGGGATTTTAGGAGGCTTTGGTGGAATGTGAGCCGGTGGGGAGCTCAAGGCAGGGGGAGCTGCTCTGCCAGGTAGGGCACTCCAGGGCAGCAGTGTGAGTGTGGACTCGGTCTCTTCCCTCACCTGGGAGACGGCGGGGTGGTGGCTCTAACTCGTGAGGGTGTTGTGATCCTTAAGCAGCCTGTGCGCAAAGCTCGCAGCAGTTAACTTGGCGCGGAGCGGGCACCTTCCTTCCTTTTCCTTCCCAGTCGTCTTCCTCTCGTTTCTGGGGCCTCC